TTTGGGAACTGGAAAGATTGGGGAAAGGGGTAATTGGACCTCCGGTAACCTCACGCACACGACGTGAAACAACGCAAGCGTTGTTTCACGTCGGTTTTCTGTGAGGCCGTGGTATCACTTCAGTCGAGCCGGCCCATTCGAACCTAAGCATGGCTCTCATACTTCATTATACGTATTTTATTTGTTTACCAGCTTCTGCCCGCGACTTCGTACGCACAATCCCGTTTCTCCCATTCGCGTAGGATTTTCAGGACTTTTTTCTGTCATAAGAACCTTCTCCTGACAATAATAAACACAACAAAAAAGTAATCAGCCAAATCGGTCTAGCCGTTCTCAAGTTATGGCGTGACAACGGGAAACAGGTTTCATTTTTATATATTATTACTAGCGAACCCAACAGACGTTGTCCTGCATATCCACTTGAATGTATAAACAAAAATTCATTCAAATTAGTTCAGCTGTTTAGGATAAGTAACCTAAACATCGACTGCAGCGCCATGTGCCGGGCTGATTTGTGAATCTAAACCATTCCCAGACCCCCTTGAACACACACAAAAAATTTCATCAAAATCGGTCCAGTCGTTTGAGAGAAGTTCAGTGACATACACACTCACAGAAGAATTATATAATTATATAACGAATATAGATTATGAGTGTTAAAAGAATATTCTCTTTATCAGACCTATTTTTTGATCGGGAAAAATCATCGAATGACTGCTCCCGCCTTGGGTTAGGCAGGAGTATCAGACTCTTACTGACTAAAAACCACCCCGTTCCTACTCCTGCACTTCGAGCTGGAGCCCCTACTACCCGTATGGGGCATCAGCCATACTGGGCCCCATCCGTGGTGGTCTGATGAAGTCTGTCTGCACGGGTCTGCTTTACCTGACCTTACAATCTAACTCGACCCTTATCAATCATGTATTTAAGTCATTAGATCGAGAACTTAATACGTAATCTGGTCAAGATTCTGTACCTACTGACCATAACCCAGTTAGAAAGGTACAAATTTTTTATATAACATTTTTAAATATTTATATAATCTTTGTATATACGATGTGTTACTTACGTACTTATGTAGGTACTTATTTGTATATTTGTATTGTATATGTGTATATAGAATTATTATGTCAACTCACATCATGTTCACTTCTATTTTTATGTAGTTTTAGCTGTAAGTCCTCCAGGGTGTAATAAATAAATAAATAAATAAATAAACTCTATCCGTTAATGTTAGCGGAGAATTTGACTTATAAACATCATAAATATTATGTCACAGTTTTAAATTACCGAAAAGGTTTCTATTCTACTAATCTGTCTGGTCGTTTGAGTTCATAATGTTTTTTATGGCATAAGCCGGTAAACGAGTAGACGGATCACCTGATGGTAAGCAATCGCTGCCTAGAATATGAAACTCCAGAGCCGTTACAAGTGCGTTACCGGCCTTTTGAGAATTGTTGGGGATTCGAGGATTGGGGAGATTAGGAAGGGCGGTAATTGGACCTCTGGTAACCTCACTCAAACGACGAAATATAACGGTGTTGTTGCACGTCGGTTTTATGCTCGGTCGTGGTATCACTCCGGTCGAGCCGGCCCATTCGTGGTGAAGCATGGCTCTCCTCCATTTATTAGACAGACAGTGGCGAAAGAATGTTGGTGTGTGAAGTGGAACCTTGCAACTAAATTTTGAAGCAAATATCTTAAACCGACTGAGCTGAAATTGTGTATAAACGTTTAGTTTGCATGACCATAAAATGCTAAGCGACATTAAAGCTTATTTTGCAAATTTTATTTTAAATTTATTATTTACAATACCTTAGTATATTACATACGTGTGGATAACTCAACCAGAGTGATAACACGGCTTCACTGTTCATCCTTCCACTGCTGGCTATGTCCAGCCTCTCCAATGGCACGCCACTGAGCTCGGTCTTCAGCTCTGCTTACCCAACCACTGCCAGCCACCTTGCGGATGTCGTCACTCCACTTTGCTGGAGGGCGCCCTACACCACGTTTACCTAGATGCGGTCAGTGGTGACCGAACTAGAACGCGTTTACCCCAACGGTTATCGGTTCTTCGACAAATGTGACCGGCCCACTGCCATTTCAGCTTATTAATCTTTTGGGCTATGTCGATAACTTTGGTTCTCTTTCGGATCACTAACTGTCGCATCGTAGGCAACCAACGTGAAATAACGCTTGAGTTGTGTTTTGCCTTGGGAGTTTAGGTTACTGAAGGTCCATTACCTCCCCCCAGAAAGCCAGTAACGAACCTATAATTCCTCCAATAGTGTGGGTGTCCATGGGCAACGCTGATTGCTTACCATCAGGTGATCTGTCTGCTCGTTTGCCTCCCTATCCAATAAATAAAACAATCTCCTAAGACTGCCTCGTTGGCCGAGTGGTCGCAAGTGCGACTGCTGGGCAAGGAGTCTCGGGTTCGATTCCTGGATCGGCTAAAAAATTGCTGGGGTTTTAAAAAAAAATCTCAGTAGGAGCATGGAGTCTGACAATGTGCCTGGAATATGGCAATAGGCTCACCCCCTATTACATAGGACTCATAACATAAATAGTGAAAAGTGGGTGTTACATTTTGCAGTGGTATAATGTGCACCTTTGCCTACCCCTTCGGGGATAAAAGGCGTGATGTTATGTTATGTCTCGCTAAGTATATGAAATCGCTTTCAATATAAACGTGCAGCTACACTCGTTTTCCTTGAAATAGTTATTTCAAGTAAATATATTTATTTTCTATACTCTGACATATTGTATTTATATAGCTAAACATATTTGCTGCGATATTAGCCGAGTGATTGTTAGTGGTGCTGCCGAGTGTCGAGCATAGGGTACGAGGTTTGAAGTCAACAGTAATTTTATTAGACTTAAAAAGGGGGACTGCCGAGTGGGCGCAAGTGCGACTACAGGTTTCGGGTTCGATTCCCGGGTCAGGCAAAATATTACTAGGTTTTTAAAAATCTCAGTAATAGCACGGAGTCTGGAATTGTGCCCGATATATGGCAATAGGCTCGCCCCCTATTACATTGGGGCTCATAACATAAATAGTGAAAAGTGGGTGTTACATTGTACAGTGGCATTTAGTGCCGTAATGTGCACATCTGCCTACCCCTCCGGGATAAAAGGCGTGATGTTATGTTATGTTAAACAGGGGGGTCCAAGTTATATGTATTTTCTAAGATTATTTAGACACCACTGACAAACGGTGAAGGAAAACATCGTGAGTAAACTTAAGCTTATAATTTCTAATTATAAGTTTGAAATCGACAACCTGCATTGAGCAAGCGTGGTGATTAATGCTCAAACCTTCTCCGTGTGAGAAGTGGCCTTTGGTCAGCAGTGAACACTTATAGGCTGTTGATTGATTGATTGAATGAAAAAGGGGTGAACAGATACAGAATAGATGTAAGAAAAACGTTTATACATTTTTTTCGCAAAAAGATTTAAGTCACCCACTTCTGATCCATGAGGGCGCGGATTCGTAACCTACCAACGGCGAATACCAATGTAACTGTCCCGAACTATATGTATTTTCAAATATTATTTAGATACTACTCAATCACTGACAAGCTGTGTAGTCGTTTTTTTATTATTATTTTTAGCATGGTCGTCCCACTGCAGGTCAAAGGCCTCCCCACCATCCTTCCACTCGTCTCTTACTAAAGGTTTCTGTGTCTTTTTTAGGTTATAATCATCGAATGGCTACTCTCGCCCGGGTGAGACGAGAGAGTGTCAGACTCTTACTGACTAAACACCACCCCGTTCCTTCTCCTGCACTTCGATCCGGAGCCCCGGCAACCCGTTGAGCCCTCCGCGGCTCCGTATCGGCATCAGCCCTATTGGGCCCCATCTGTGGTGGTCTAATAGCTCTTTGAGGCGCGCGAAGCGGTGTAGCCTAGACAAGTTGTCATAAGTGTTAATTATACTCTGCCTAACTGGGTTTTTTGAGAATAATTTAACACTAATCTGACGTAACCAACTTGTATCAAAATCTATTTTAAAATTTCAAAACCGGTACAGATGACAGTATAAATTTTGAAGGTAAAGAAGCTTAATGAATGCAGCATACTTTATTCAGCATGTATTGTATATATTTATAAGACAAATTAGTCTCTTTTTTGTGCCTTTAGGCTTAATTCATTTTGTCTCCAGCAGTAATTCACCGAGGGAAGTGGAAACTATCGTTTTTTTTCTTCTCCTCTTATAATATCTTCTGATTCACTTCGTTGCGGGAACCAAGACTGTTATTCATGTCCCTGAGACGCGCCGTAACGCGACGCAAGTAAGGTTACCATAGGGCCAATTACCTCCCTCCTCAATCTCCCCAATGACCAAATCCCAAACAATCTTCAATTTCCTATCTCCGCAAAGGCCGGTAACGCACTTGTAACGACTTTAGTGTTTAGGGTGTCCATGGGCGACGCCAATTGCTTATCATCAGGTGATCCGTCCGCTCGTTTGCTGACCTATCCGACAAGCAAGTAAGATTTGGAAGACGATGATGATGATAACAATGTCACAATAAGAACCTTTTTTTAAGAGGAGAAGATCATCGAATGACTTCTCCCTCCTTGGATTGGCGAGAGGGAGTGTCAGAATGTTACTGACTAAAAACCACCCCGTTCCTTCTCCTGCTCTTCGAGCCGGAGCCCCGACAACCCGTTCGGCCTTTAGCGACTCCGTATCGGGCATCAGCCCTACTGGGCCCCATCTATGGTGGTCTGATGGCTCTTTGAGGCGCGCGCTGTACGCACGGGTCACGACAAAAACCCAGTCTCACAATAATAACAAGAAGTGTTTATAAATTCATACGAAAACCGCAAAATTATAATGTTTTATTTATTCACAGTATTATAAATGTGTTAATCTGTATTTTTCCAATGTTTGTCTCTGTCTTAGAATATAGTTAATATCAATTTACGTAGTTATTGTATTAAATTAATTAATTAACTACATACATAACTTCACGCCTGTCTCCCATGAAGGGTAGTAGAGACTATGGAACGCCAACCGCTACGATTCCTACATACCTCTTTCGCTTCATCAACAGTCATCAATCTTTTCATGCATGCTCGTCGGTTAAGGGTACTTTTAATTTGGCCCTTCTTTAATATATCGCCAATCTGGTCACTATATGTCCGTCTAGGGCGCCCTCTACCGACGGCCCCATTCATATCCGCTCTGTATACTTCTTTCGTTACTCTACTTAATTAATAATCACATCATCACCAGTCCACTGCTAAAAATAGAAATAAATTTACTAAATTATTATTTTTTAAATTCTCAGTAGTAGCACGGAGTCTGGAAATGAGCTCGGTATATGGCAATAGGCTCACCCCCTTTTACATGGGACTCATAACATAAATAGTGAAAAGTGGGTGTTACATTGTATATTTTTTTTTATTTTATTTAAGCTTCATGCACAAAGTGTACACAAGGTGGACTTAATGCCGTAGGCATTTTCTCCCAGTCTGACCTTTGGGTGATGCAGAGAAGAGTTAATATATAGTGGCATTAAGTGCCATAATGTGCACCTCTCGCCTCTTTGGGGATAAAAGGCGTGATGTTATGTTATGTTATACTAGCTTTTACCCGCGGCTTCGCTCGCGTCACAAAAGGATAAAAAGTAGCCTATGTGACATATACCAATACACACAGCGCCATCTATACCAATACTTTTGTTTTTCCTCGGGAATATCAAATTTTTTCGGGTTAAAAGTACCCTATTATCTAATCCGAACTTCTAACTTTACGTCTGCAAAAATTCAAAGCAATCTGTTTAGTAGTTACGGCGTTAAAGTGGAACAAACAAACAAACAAACAAACTCACTTTCTGATTTATAATATTAGTAAGGATTTTACCAAATTTTACTGGTTTCCAATGCGATGTTCACATTACCGTACACGTGTGGACTAATTTAATAATAAAAGATGTCTGCCAGGTCACGTGTATGTGCCAAAAATATCTACATTCAAAATAATATTTGATTACATTAATTCTAAGTTACACATAATGATATAAAGCTTCGATAAAATTATGTTAATTTTTAATGCGTCCGTTGCAGTCGCAGGTGCATAGTAAGTGGTTTTGTCTTGATTTATTATTGAATTTATTATTTCCCAATATTGGGCATTTCCCAACAAGAAGTATATATACATATTATTTACTAGCTGTGCCCGCGACTTCGTTCGCGTGGAAAAAAAAAACGCTGTTCATAGTCACTAGACTATGAACAGCGTTTTTTTTTTAATATACTTATACTTATTTTTATTTTGGATCATTATGTCGGTACAAAATTTCAACCAAATCCGTCAAATAGTTACGGAGATTAATGGTGCCTATGTATGTATAAGCATAGAATAGTGTTCGACGTGATTCTTTAATTTGACATAACCTTTTTATTTATGAACTGATTGACATGAAACAAACACTAAAGCATAACTGAAGCATACCACAATATATTCGTGAAAACCGCATCCAACTCGGATCAGCCGTTTCTGAGATTAGCGTGAACAGACAAACAGACAAACAGACAAAAAAAAGTTAATTCCATTTTTGGGTTCGACATCGACATAACAATAACCCCTGCTATTTTTTTTTTATTTTCAATGTACAGACAGAACTTTTCTACAATTTTATTATATGTATATATAGATTTAGTTTTTTTTAAATGTCTTGTCTTAATTTACAACCTATATTTTAATAAAGGGAGAAAATACCGACTGCCTCGCTGGTCAAGGGGTCCCGGATTCGATTCCCTAGTCGGGCAAAGTATTACTGGGTTTTTAAAACAAATCTCAGTAGTAGTCTAGTAGTAGACTCATAACATAAATTTGCTACGAGTATCATGTACACATTGCCATGCATACCATGCATTAAGTACCTAAAAAAATAACCTTGAGGACAACAAAAATACAGTCTGGAGCTGACCAGTCCCATTTGACAGCGCCTGTTCACGAACATGACACGTACACCAGCACACCTCAGTTGTAGCACGGAGCCTGGATTTGTGCCCGGTATATGGCAATCGGCTTACACCCTATTACATGGGACTCATAACATAAATAGTTAAAAGTGGGTGTTACACTGTACAGTGGCATAATGTAGGTACACCTCTGCCCACCCCTACGGGGATAAAAGGCGTTATGTATGGTGTTATTTTTTCTTTAACATAAGAGCATGTTCCTTTTTAAAAGGCTGGCAACGCACCTATAACGCTTCTAGTGTTGCGGTTGTCCATGGGCGGCGTTGATTGCTTACCATCAGCCGAACGCGCTCGATACTATTACGTTACGAATGCGATAGTTATTCGTGCTTGGCACTCTGGTGATCCGTCCGGTCTTTCGCCATACAAAAATGAATATTTTAAATTGTATATTGATAACGCTGCATGTAGAAAGCTAGCATCTAAATATAAACATAAACATTATTCTTCCGTTGGTTTGTCTACATGTCATTGCACTCTAAAACAGCTAGATTCGCTTCAGTTCAGGTTTTACCCAGATCGGGAGTGATTTATTTACAAATTAACCTGACAACCGGTGTCACAATCAAGTTCTGTATGTTTTTACTTGCCCCATATTATAATATTAGTTTTCTCCACACGGTTTCACCCGCTATGCTCGGCTCCTATTGATCATAGCGTAATGTTTTATAGCCTATAGCCTTCCTCGATAAATGGAGTATCGAACACAAAAAGAATTATTGAAATTGGACTAGTAGATCCGGAGATTAGCGCATTCAAACAAATAAACAAAATCTTCAGCTTTGGACATATATGTATAGATATAAAGTTATACAATTTATATTACAATACGACTATGTATTAGACTACCGATCGCATAATATAGTCAAATCCAAAATCAAATAAGCAGCGCAACAATCGCCGCATCGCTGGTCGCGGAATGCTGTTCATGAATATGAGCCTCTAGCATGGCTTGAAAGTAGTCGAGTTCCTCGTCAAACAGTTACGTGAGTAAGCCGAAAACATAATAATTAATTTTTAATATGTCTCAAGAAAGTATAATATACTTAAACATAATTTTATACCACTAAAAATCATAATTTAAAGGTATTGTATTTTGCCAAAAAGTAAGAAACACACAAGACACAAAACGCATACCACGCCATCTACACAACGCGAAAACTAAAAATGAAACTATAAAAATAACACATACCTATGACAAATATTAAAATAATTCAGTCGAAAATGGCAGTTAGGTATAGGAAGTTAAGACAAAAGGTTTAACTGTTATTGTTAAAAGTTAGTCATTAACTGGCAGTTAGCCAGATGTTTAGACTAACGCTAAGACAATGTCAATAGTTTCCTTGTATAGTTCAACTCGGTTCAGTATGAACTTCACCACATTTTTTTCTAATATGAGAAGTCTTTTTTACGGGGGGAATGACATCCAATGACTTCGACCGCCTTTTTTTAAGCGGGGAAAATCATCGTATGACTTCTCCCGCCTGGGTGAGGCGGGAGGGAGTGTCAGACTCTTACTGACTAAATACCACCCTGTACCTAATCCTGCACTTCGAGCCGGAGCCCCGGCATCCCGTTGAGTTTTCCGCGACTCCGTATCGTATTGCGGGGAGAAAATCATCGAATGACTTCTCCCGCCTTGGGTGAAATGATAGTGAGTGTCAGACTCTTACTGACTAAACACCACCCCGTTCCTAATCCTGCATAGTTCCTACACCGGTACCCCACTAGGTTCTCCCCAGCTCATTTATCGTTGACAGCCTATAAATGCCCACTGCTGAGCAAAGCCTTTTCTCACACGGAGAAGGTTTGACCTTTAATCACCACGCTTGCTCAATGCGGGTTGGCGATTACAAACTTATGATAAGAAATTATAAGTCTAGGTTTCCTCACAAGGTTTTATAAATGCCCACTGCTGAGCAAAGCCTTTTCTCACACGGAGAAGGTTTGACCTTTAATCACCACGCTTGCTCAATGCGGGTTGGCGATTACAAACTTATGATAAGAAATTATAAGTCTAGGTTTCCTCACAAGGTTTTCCTTCACCGTTTATCAGTGGTGTTAGCGGCCTTTTTCGAATTACGAATTTGAGGATTGTTGCGTATTTAGGGATTGGGGATATTGGGGGGGGGGCTAATTGGGCTTCTTAACCTCACTCACACAACGCAACACAACGCAAGCGTAGTTTCAAGTTGGTTTTCTGTGAGCTGTGTGTTGCTGCCCGGTCTATGTCCCTTAGTCGGGTATAAGAAACTCGCGGGAAGAGCAAGGGTGGTGATAAATGTAGTGTAATCTACTGTACAAGGTTCAATAAACATAGAAATTTCAAAATCTCTATTACATACAAGATGTTATGTTAATTATAATTTTGTCATATGTTCAAAGTTTGTGTTCGACATTATTGTTGCCCTCGACCTTTGGTTTATTGTAATTTAGTCATTAGCTTTAGCGCATACTATGTTTACAAGTACTTACGAATTTTCCCATTCAATAAACAATTGTACTTCCTTCAATACAAATAGGTTTTATGCATCATCGACCTGCAGTTGCAATGTACTTAAAACACGTGTCGTCTGGACAGTCAACCTCGCTACATCCTTGTTGACTGGACATCTACACTACATGAGCTGCTGTTTACATGTGAACATTAGCCCATGACGATACCTAAGTACGTGTGTCGCCTGGACAGTCAACCTCACTACATCCTTGTTGACTGGACATCTACACTACATGAGCTGCTGTTTACATGTGAACATTAGCTCATGACGATACCTAAGTACGTGTGTCGCCTGGACAGTCAACCTCGCTACATCCTTCTTGACTGGACATCTACACTACATGAGCTGCTGTTTACATGCGAACATTAGCTCATGACGATACCTAAGTACGTGTGTCGCCTGGACAGTCAACCTCGCTACATCCTTGTTGACTGGACATCACTATATGAGCTGCTGTTTACATGTGAACTTTAACTCATTAACAAAAAACTGTTTACTGCAATATGTAGATTAATCT